TCGCATTAGGTGACCAAAATATCTGAGCTTGAGCTTCATTATCGATCCTTCCAATGAGCAATCAGGGTTGAAAATGTAATGAGGGACATTATATTGGAATGTAGACCCTAAAAATAATAAAAAGAGAGAAATCCTGAAAATTCACCTTTATTATTAAGTTCACTATCTAACTCATTTGAAAAGTTCATCAGATGTTTACAAACCGAGAAGGAAGATTTTATTTTCGGATCAGAGAAACAAGTTAGTAAAACTACAGCGCTAAACTTATCAAGTGACATATGAAGGGACGCATGCGTGCTCCTCTTACGCGTCGTCCTCAGGGCGCATGCGCGAATCCCTCCCCACCCCCATTAGAAATAGGCATTTCTGTTTCCGGCACGAAGTAATAAGCGACAATAGGCTGGCGCTTTTTGCCTCGCTCACTCTATGGTGCGGACCTTTGCTTGGCATTGGATGTTGAAGGAGATCGTTCCGTCCTAGAGCGGAACAAAAAAGGAAAAGATGACATCACAATAAAGCGGGCGCGGGCAGAGAGAGGCGGAGCCGAGAAAGGAAACGAAATCCGGAAATGTCGTAATTGTGGCTACATAGAGGAGGAAGAGCAGACCGTCGCTCCGAAATCCGCTCTGTTGTGACTCGGCGTTATAAGGGGACGTCACTTCCTGCGCGCCTTGTCATCTTTGAGCGAACCAAGATGGCGTCGGCGAGGAGCCGTTGGCTGTGGCGCTGCTGCGCCTTTTTCGGGTATTCCCCAAATAGCGGCTTCGGTTCCTTCTCTCCGCTTCCTTGAGCTCCCTGCCGAAGGGCGCCTCCGGGGCCGAGTCTCGTCTTCTCTGGGAGGGCCCGGCATTTTCCAGCCTCCCCCGGTTCTCCCCCGGGCCCTTAAGGGCGCTGCTTAAACCAGCGGACGAGCGGCCTCTCCAGGCGGGGGATCCCGGGGGGTCTTGAGCTTCAGTTCCCATAATCCCCAGCCATTTCTTGTGTGGGCTCGCTATTATGCTGCTCTGCCGTTTTACATGTGCGCCTCATGGCTTTGCATCAACCAGATTTGGGTTCTGTAGATGCAGAGACTCGTCTGTTTTGGACACAGCACGAAGGGTAGTTCTTGATTTGGAACTCGGGAGGTTTAGGGTAGGAGACTGCTTCCTGCTCCCTACCCTGGGGGGCTGGGGAGAGACCCAGAGGCACTAGCTGCTTTTCTTATAAACTTGCTGCATAAACTTACGGTCAGTTCAGTTGTAAGGAAAATGGCACGTACCTACTTGCCTCCGTTGCTATTTTGTGTCTCTAAAACTCTCCTGTTCAGTGTAGCTTTATTTGGGCAGGCTTCTCCCTGTTAGAAGCCTCCCTGAATTCACTGGGGCATACTTGTCGAATACAGGCCTTGGTTTAAATAATTAAAAAGTAGGGGTGGTTATATATCTATTCATGCTCTATAGTACCCAGTTATTTGTAGATAACATCATGGCCATCTGATGCATAAAAAGTTACAGCTCACTGCACCCGTCTCTCCCAGCTGTAATAACCTTTTTTTCTTTGAGGTTTGTGGTTAAAATCGTTGGCTTGCTTGGCCCTGAATTCTCTTAAAACTGTAGGAATTAATCTGCAGTTTGCTGGATATTTTTCAATGCTGTGGATTCAACAAAGGAGAGATAGCTACTTTCCTAATTGTACCACCTGAAATTAGTTTATAAGCGCTATTTTCCTCACATTACCAAGCAAGGCATCAAATACACTGGATCCAGGCTGTTACATTCTCCAGACTGCTTGTTTTCCTGTGTTGCTTGCTGCTCTTTTACCTCAATGGATGTCTTTTCTAGACGGAACTTTCCACTCTTCTCAAACGTGAGGACACAATGTGCATCTGGACTGAGGGCACCATGGAGGAAAATGGCAACTCTGGGGTTTGGAATGACCTTGGCTGCTATCCCTATTGCCCAGGTAGCTTTCCGGAAAGTCCTTTTATTATACAAGCTTCTCCTTAGTTTTATTTCCTTTCTGAGAAATACTTTCTTCCTTAGGTAAATCTGTTGCTATGTGCTAAGTCTCCATTGTTTTCCTCCTTTCTCTGACTCGACAGCTTTTGCAGTTGTTCAAACTGAGACTGAAAAGATTCTTCTCTTTCACCCCCCTGCTTGTATGCTAGAGTGGTTCATTTTTTAATATGGCTAGTTATTTACGGAGAAATTGCTTTCTTTTGTGAGGGAGGGCCATGGACAGCCCAGTAGAAATCAGTTGCAGTAATAGAGTAGCAGTAGTTTACTTGAATTTATGCTATTAAGATGTGTGTTAATCCACCATTTAAACTTAATCAAAAAGTCTGAAAAGCAATCGGAGCCCTGGTTTTGTTGCAATTTCTATCGCTATCAGTTGCTCTCTGTATTTTCTGTGATCAACTGTATACCTTATGTGGAATTTATAACTGGCTTTACTATTCTTTGGCATGTTTGTTTTGGACTTTGGCTGCCAATTAAATACTGTAGCTTTGAGCCATTCAATTAATTGGATTGGCATTGGATTCAGAGAAAGGATGAAAATATTTCTTCAGCTGGTGTACTTAGAGAATTTTGTGCTACAGACGTGTGATGTCATCTACTTTAACTGGGAATCCTACAGATGGGCCACTTCCCAGAATTCTCACCTGGGAAAAAATTCCCTATGTTGGCTGGAAAAAGGGAAACTGAAGTCCACATACCTTGAAATCTGTTTTAAAGCAGGGGAGGTGGCAGATTAACAGATAGGTTATCAATAGCCATGTACCTGCAGATTTAAGAGCATTATTCCTCCAGGTATCAAGAGCTGCGTGCTGAACTAAGTGAACCATTGCTGCAATCCAGCAGAACTTTTCAGTTTCTCATGTTCTTATGCTTACAGTTGACTTGTAGTGAGGCAGGTTTTCAGTTGTATAACATTTCTTCTTTTTAATGACAACAACGCACGTTGTTTCCTTCTCTCCCAGTTTTTGAAAAGTTGTTCTGCTTGGGAACCACCATGCGTAGCACATAATGTTTGTCTTTCAGAAACATGATCCGAGTTCTCTTAGCAATGAAGCCTTGATCCGAAGAGCAGTTTCCCTAGTAACCGACAGCACTGGGACCCTCCTTTCTCAAACAACTTACGCACTGATTGATGCTCTAACAGAATATACAACGGTAAGATACTGCCTTCCGGATCCCACATCTGGTGGTGTGGTGCAAATACAACTGTATGGTAATTACGCCTGTCTAGGAAAGCTTGGTTCTGAAAGGTGGCCTACAATTACTAAATATAAAGTAAAAAGTAAATGTTAAATTCTAGTCAAGTACAACTTTAACAGACTGGGTTTATTTATAGGCAGTTTACACATTGGTGTCCCTGTACCAGAAATATACGCATCTCCTGGGGAAAATGAATTCCAAGGAAGAGGATGCTGTTTGGCAAGTGATCATTGGGGCCCGAGTGGAGGTAAGAAACCTGGTCTTGGTGCCTTTTGCCCTTCAGGAGCTCAGAAGGGCTCCAGCATCCAACAGGGTTGTAGGTGGACCTAAGAGGTCCAAATTCTTGATAATATCTAGCGGGTGACCCTAAATAAAGAACCTCAAATGAGAGTGATCTGTCAGCTGTGCAAAAAGCGTGCCAGATTTAATTGTTTTAATCCTGGCTTTGCGTAGATGACGACAAAGCAGCAGGAATATCTCAAGCTGGAATCCAGGTGGATGACGGCCCTGCGGCTTTCAGAGATGGCAGCAGAAGCTGCATATCAGTCAGGTGAGATTTCTGGAAGCCTCTTATCCCCCCCCCCCCCCCCCCC